TGTGTAACTTTACAAACGGCACCCCATACCCTACAGTCCTTTTCAATACAGTTGTTACAGTCATATCTTTAATAACAGTAAGATGTTAGGTTTATGAAACCAATTGTATTTAGCAGTTGAGTTGCTAAATGATATCAAACCCAAAACACGCTGACAGCAGTTTTCAGTTTTGTCATATTTTTGAATACAATTTATTTTATTTTCTACTTGCTTTTTTCATCATAGGTGTATAGAATTTGATTGAGCAATAAATGACTAGTGGAAAATGTCATTTTAGCAAGCTAATTTTTAGATAGCATTAATTTTACAAGTGGCTTAAGTTACTTAAAGCAAGATTGTTAGCTGGCTAGCTGAGAATTATATCATAACAGGAGCTAAAGAGACTGTGCAATGGTGTCAAATTTGCTTCATTAGTTTGTTGTGTTGCATACAGCCTTGCACATTTAACTTATGGTTAGTACTCAATGTTGGTCAGGTAGTATCAAGCTCAGGTAAAAGCTAGGCCGAGACTCTGTGCTAGAGATTGAGTTCAGAAGTTTGAGCCTGGACTGTGAGTCACTGACACACTCTGTCACACACCAAACCTGCATGCTTGGCATGTCGTTACACCCAGGTGAGCTCTGAGGGCAGGGTGAGGCTATGCAGACTTTAGGAAGGGGTAGTCAGGAACACAGGGAGGGGTGTTCAGTGAGTAGCCAGGACCAGAAGAGTCTGATTCAAGCAGTAGGACAAGGCAATTTGTCGTCAAATGGATGACTGAAAAACAAGTTACTCAGGTGGTGGGAGGACAAGTTCTGCTCAAGAGCTCCCAGGAGAGTAGTCCAAGGGCCAGGACGGGTCACCATGCATCTCTCCCACTAATAAACCTATCTGATATTTTCGTGTACCGTAGGGTTCACTCTTTCAGAAAAAGCATGTTAACAGAAAAAAGTTGGGTTTAACTACACCCCAGGACCGTTTTTGGCTACACCCGTTTTTCGTTGCGACAATCAAAATAAAGGGTACATGAAACTTAACTGCCAATAACTTAGCTAAAAAACAACCAAATTTTATAAACTAGCTATCAGCAAATTGGTTCTGATTAGTTCTTCTATTTAAATTACATTTCATTAAACAATAATGAACGTGATGATGTCATCAAGGGGCAAAAGTACACAACCCAGACAGAAGATGAAAACTATCTTTTACCCAAGTTTACCATACAGAACCCACATTTTCAACTTTTTTTTTTTTTTTGCATTTTCATGCACCCTAGGATAAAAAAACAAAACTCCAGCATTTTAACAGAACTAATAAAGCTGGTAGATACCACGCACCAGGGGCCCATATTTGACCACTCGCTACTTATTTTGTGCACCGATCAGAATTTCTGCGATGTGAAACTTACATGCTTCTTTATGTAAGAACAAAATGTCATGAATCTAGTGTCAAATTATATTTATTATTCTGACTTGGTCTCTCACTTAGAAGTGCTTTTGTTGATTAATTATACAAGAGATTACAAAATCGGTTAAAAGTCACACTTATGACCATCGTTGAACATTCATAAAGCAGTGTTTCCTGAAATGGAAAGACTTTCATGGAATTCCTCATTGTACAGCTTGAACTTTAAATCTTCTTTAGAATTGGCTGAATTAAATTTTGAGAAATTAGTGTACCCATTTATTACACCTTTATGTCGAATGGCAGGTGTCGAATGGCACTGTCTGTTTCTAAATCACTGACCGACCAGATAACTTCTGTTGCCTTCAAATTCACTTTCACAGTCTGAGAATTCAGGGCAGCACAGTGGTGCAACTGGTAGAGCTGCTGCCTCTCAGCGAGCAGGTCCTCGGTTCAAATCCCAGTCGGAAGGCCTTTCTGGGTGGAGTTTGCATGTTCTCTCTGTGCATGCGTGGGTTTTCTCCGGTTTCCTCCCACAGACCAAAACATGCATGTTAGGCTGATTGGTAACTCTAAATTGTCCCTAGGTGTGAGTGAGAGAGTGAATGGTTGTTTGTCTCATTTGTCTCTATGTGTCCCTGTGATGGACTGGAGACCTGTCCAGGGTGTACCCCGCCCCTCGCACAATGATTGCTGGACATGGGCACTAGCGACCCCTGTGACCCAAAATGGAAGAAGCGGGTAAAAGATAATGAATGGATGAATGGATGGATGGATGGATGTCTGAGGATTCATCAGCTTCACTCTCTAGTCTCATTTTAGGATGTCAATCAGTGTTTTGCAGTACTTTTTCTATAAGATAATAAACAAAAAACAAAGCTCCACCAGGGCCAGGGCTGACACCGACAGAGCCAGTCTGAAAACCTCACCAAACTATATAGGCTGTACTGGCAATGAATGGACCTGGGTTGATTAAATCATCCATATCAACAAGTTAAATTCAGGAAAAATGCAATGGTTTTCAAAGGCCTTACAAAAATACATTTACCTTTCACAATTTCCTGCATTCCCATCAAAGATTACTTACTTTTGGATGGATTTGTGTGAAAATTATCAAACTGATTTCTTCCTAATTAAATTATTCTGTCTTCTTATTATTATTTATTTATTTTTTCCCCTATTCAGGGGTTACCACAGTGAGTCATCCTCCTCCATCTCACTCTGTCCTCTGCATCTTCTGTCCTTATTCCAACTACCTCCATGTCCTCTCTAACTGCATCCATATATCTCCTCTTTGTCTTTTTCCTGGCAGCTGCATTTCTAACATCCTTCCATCAATATACCCACTGTCCCTCCTCTGGACATGTCCAAACCATCTCAGTCTGGCCTCTCTTATTTTATCTCCCAGTTGTTCAACCTGTGCTGTACCTCTGATGATCTCATTCCTAATCTTATCCATCCTTGTCTCTCATGAGAACCTCAACATCTTCATTTATGCCACTTCCAGTTCTTTCTCATGTCTTTTTGTCATTGTCACTGTCTCCAGACCATACAACACAGCTGGTCTCACCCCTGTCTTGTAAACTTTTCCTTTGACCTTTACTGACACTCTTTTGTCGCAAATCACTCCTGAAACTTTTCTCCATCCTCTCCATCCAGACTGGACTCTCTTTTTCACCTCTTTACCATATTCCCCATTTTCCTGGACAGTGGACCCCAAGTTCTTGAAGTCCTGCACCTTTGTGACCTCTGCTCCTTGTAGCCTCACTGTTCCACCAGCCTCCCTCTCATTCATACACATGTACTCTCTTACTACAGCTGACTTTCATTCCTTCTCTTTCACGTGCATACCTACACCTCTTTAAGTTCTCTTCCACCTGTTTCCTATTCTCAACACAGATCACAATGTCATCTGTAAGCACCATACACCACAGGGATTCCTGCCTGACCTCATCTGTTAGTCGGTCCATCACCAGAGTAAACAAGAAGGGGCTCAGAGCTGATCCTTGATGCACTCCCACCTCCACCTTGAAGCTATATGTCACTCCTACAGCACATCTCACCACTGTCCTGCTGTCCTCATACATGTCCTGTACCAGTCTAACATACTTCTCTGCCACTCCAGATTTCCTCATGCTATACCACACCTCCTCCCTCGGCACCCTGTCATATTATTTTTCTAAATCCACAAAGACACAACGCAGTTCTTTCTGACCCTCTCTGTACTTCTCCATCAGCATCCTCAAAGCAAAGATGGCATCAGTGGTGCTCTTTCTTGGCATGAAACCATAATGCAGCTCACAAATGGTCACCTCTCATTTAAATTTAGCTTCCACAATTCTCTCCCAGATCTTCATCATGTGACTCATCAACTTAATCTCCCCTGTAGTTGCTACACCTCTGTACATCACATTTGTTCTTAAAAATAGGTGCCAGCACACTTCTCCTTCATTCCTGAGGCATTTTCTCACCCTCAAATATGCTATTGAATATTTAAGTTAAAAACCTTACTGCCATCTCTCCAAGACATTTCCAAACCTCCACTGGTATGCCATCAGGTCCTACTGCCTTCCCCTTCTTCATTCTTTTCAGATCTTTCCAGACTTCACCCTCATTGATCTTTCCCACTTCCTGGTCTACAGTTTCTATGACCTCTACTCTTCTTTCTCTTTCATTCTCTTCATTCATTAGCTCCTCAAAGTACTCTTTCTATCTTCCCTTCACACTCTCCTCACTTGTTAGAACATTATCATTCCTAGCTTTAACAAGCCTAACTTACTGCGCATACTTTCCAGCCTGATCACTCTGTCTCGCCAATTGATACAAGTCCTTCTCACCCTCTTTAATGTTCAGACTCCCATACGCCTCCCATCGTACAGCTTCTGCTTTGCATTTGCTAACTCCCTCTTTGCTCTACATCACATCTCCTTATATTCCTGTTTCTTTTCTTCAGTCCACTCACTGACATATTCTTGGCTAATGTCTTGCTTTGAATAGCTTCCCACACTTCACTATTCCACCACCAGATTTCATTTTATACTTATTTTGTTAATTTTTTATATAATTTATTTTATTTACTTTTCATTTTATATGCTTTTATATGAGTGTCTATTGTTGTATGTACCTCATTTGTGTTCTTTGTTTAAAACAGGTTTCTTTTGTAAATGAGTCCTTGCGACTCAATGAGACTAACCTGTATAAATAAAGGTTGAATGAATGAATTATTATTTATTCTCTGTCCAGATGACACACCAAGTACCTTCCTACCTGTCTCTCTAATTATTGTTACTGTAGTAGCCCAGTCATTTGGAAGCTCATTCTTACCAATTAAATGAAACAGTTTTTCTAAATCAACTTCATTTGTTCTAACTTTCATTGAGTTTAAATTCCAGTGAAGTCAGATTTAGTGGTTGAGTGTTTTTGTTTTTGTGTCTTTTAGCCATATCTTAAAAATATATCAATATAAAACATTATAGTGCATTATTGGGATGGGTTCTGCACTAGAATCCTCAATAGAGCCACTGTTGAAAATATCTTGTGATATTTTTTTGTTTTATAAGTTGTTGTGTCTCTCTTTGACTTTCCTAACCCTTTTTGTCTTTGTGTTTATCTTGTAGGATCTTGCTGACAGTTGTGGTGATCTTCCGTATTCTGATTGTGGCCATCGTTGGGGAGACAGTTTATGAGGACGAACAAACCATGTTCATATGTAACACTCTACAGCCAGGCTGCAACCAGGCCTGCTATGACAAAGCCTTCCCAATCTCCCACATCCGGTATTGGGTCTTCCAGATTATACTGGTGTGCACACCTAGCCTCTGCTTCATTACCTACTCTGTCCATCAGTCTGCCAAGCAGCGAGACAGGCGTTACTCTTTTCTCTATCCTATTATGGAAAAAGACTATGGAGGACGGGATGGGGCACGAAAGATCCGCAACATAAATGGCATTTTAGTTCAGCATGGTGGCGATAGCGGGGGAGGAAAGGAAGAACCAGACTGTTTGGAAGTAAAGGAGATCCCCAACGCCCCTCGGGGCCTTACCCATGGGAAGAGCTCCAAGGTTCGCCGGCAAGAAGGGATCTCCCGCTTTTACATCATTCAGGTGGTTTTCCGGAATGCCCTGGAGATCGGCTTCTTGGCAGGCCAGTATTTTCTCTACGGTTTCAGCGTGCCTGGGATTTTTGAGTGTGACCGCTACCCATGCCTCAAAGAAGTGGAGTGCTACGTCTCTCGACCCACTGAAAAAACAGTTTTCCTGGTGTTCATGTTTGCGGTAAGCGGCATCTGCGTGGTGCTCAATCTGGCTGAGCTCAACCACCTGGGCTGGCGTAAGATCAAGGCCGCCATCAGGGGCGTCCAGGCCCGCAGGAAGTCTATCTGCGAGATCAGGAAAAAGGACATGGCACATCTGTCCCAGCCGCCAAACCTGGGGCGCACTCAGTCCAGTGAATCTGCTTACGTTTGATGAAGATGATCAGTACCTAAATTAACAAGGAGTGAGATGAATGTGCAAGAGTGTAATTTTTTTTTTCACAGAGGGTTGGGGTCAAAAGAGATGACTTCTGCTCTGCAGAGACAGAATAAAACAGAATGTAAAAAGACCAAAAGTCTGAGTCTGCCGATTTGAGCATTAATGGAAGGCAGAGAAAAAAGATGATAAAGCACACTAGAAAAAAAGTTTGGCTCGGCGAGATGAACATAATTAACACAATGATCTCATGGGGAGATTTTCCTACGATTTTATACAATTTTCTTGGTAACTAATTACCTTCTCGTTCTTTTTTAATGAGAAAAATTAAACCCTCATGAGGTTAGAGTGGAGAAACCGGCAAATGAAGGAAAAGAGAATGAACAGGGTGTGGATATTGAAAATGAGGGAGTTTTTTGATGCATCCAATGGTGCTTTATATCTGGACATCATCAACTTCAGTAAAAAAAAGGTGACAGGACAGGGGATGGGACATGGAGAATGAACAGCAACGTTATTAAAGAGGAGCGGAAGAACAGTCAGGATGAAGGCGTGTTTGGGTGCGAGAGGACGTAAGAGAGGGAAGCACCCAGCTCTGGGAGAACATCTGAAACAAGAGATCGAAGACAGAAGAGAGGAAGCGTTCTCCTTTTCCGACCTCTCCTCATCAGTGATTAAAAAGGAGCTGCCTCTGAACATTGTGTCTTGCCTTCACTGGAACATCGACACGAGCCAAACCAGGAAAAAAAGACCGACGGTGTTTATGCTTCGTCTCTTGGCAAAAGATGATTTCAACACAAACACGAGTAGCAACCATAAACACTCTTCTCCCAACCTTTCCTCTGTCTCCCTGGCTTTCAGCTCCACGGTTGGCAGCTGTGTAGACATGGGGGGGTGGGGGGTGCTGAAGTGACAGAAATGACCCCTACTGCTCTCCTTCTGCATAAACTTTGGAGAGGACTTACGAAGACTGTCAGTCTCTCTGAAAGCACAAATCAAACTTCTCTCCTTCCAGGACTGAGACAAAAAAAATAAAACTCATCACTTTATTACAAGTTTAGACAAATTTTATAATTATTTTGGGGGTGGGAAGCGATTGTGCCATCCAGTTACGTAGAGCACAACATGGTAATATTGTTTCTTCATCTAGAGTTTAACCAAATAGATTTATTTATTCTTAGGAGGGATTTGGGCAAGAATTTTTGATTTTTAAATGTATAAACTGATTTTGTTTTGTTTAGTGAGAAACATTTCTCACAGGTGGGACTGATTAATGAAATGTACGGAGATGGGAAGGACTGCTGTAAGGATGTGTAGCTGATTAATTTTTTCTTTTTTAGTTGCAACTCTTTTGGCAAAACTGACGGGAAGTGAATTACCTGCATTTTTTCAATGTAGATCGATGCAGCTGTTAAACAACATCTGCCCGGTTTTTGTCCTGCACAGAGCCTTGATTTCTCTCCACGATCAGCTGCACACCTTCAGGCACTTTCGGCCTGTGAGCCATTTGATAAAAGCATGTTTACACGACGAAATGTTTCTTGAATGACGAAGCAGAGGAGCACTTCCTCCCTGGAGACGGTGGTTTTATTTTACTTTTTAAAATCTCAGTGGATTTCTTTTTGCATTTCTTTCCTGACTGGATTTCAGCTTGCATGCAGTGTAAAAGAAAAAAAAAAAAAGAGAATGACGGGAAAGAAATTGAAGGGAAAAAAGATAAAGATAACAGAGTGTGGCACACACCTTGATTATTGCAGATGAGATGAAGAGTGGCAGACTGCAGGAACTCCTGTTGGGACAAAAATTGTGCTTGCAGACCCTCGCAGAGATGCACAAATGAATAATTTAAAACATGCAACAAACACACGATGAGCCTTAGACACCAGACATAGCAACAGTTCAAAAGACTACATGGGGTTAGAACCGAACGCACATAAAGACGGCTTCAACCAGGATCTTCTCACTTTGGGTGGAGGACAATCAAATAAATGAAACGATCATCAAGTCCTCACTTCATGATGCTTCAGGAGCTGTCAGTATCTTATTTTAATGCTTAACGCTCCAACATGCAAGAATGTTGGAAATCCTGCAAGAGTTGTATCATCGACAAATCTGACAAAGAACGAGGGCACATAAAAGAGGAATTTGGCACCAAAATTAAGCCATCTTTTTAAAATTGTTCTTATTTATTTATTTTGTATTGGTTGACTTTAGTGCACTGAAAACACTTGAATGGATTAAACAACAATTCTTTGGGTTAAAATACAGTTTTGGAGGTATATTCTAGCCTTTAAAAGTGGGAGTTCAGTGGAAAAGTATCTTCTTTCTATTTTTCCATCCAACAGGCTTCAGCCAAGCTAACAACTAGTCCAAACGCAGCCACAACCAAGTGGATTTCTGTCATCTTTAATCCAAAATATCCACAACGGTTCATGCAAATGTTGTTTAATTAACCTTACATAAGTATTTACATAGAATTCTGATAGTATGCAAGCACTTATAGCAACAGGAGTTAGCTGTAGCACGTCTGGTGCAAGCTTAGATGAATTCTAAAAGAAATCATATTTCTGATGTAAAAAAAAGTGATGCAAAACTGGTGGGGATGTAAAGGTTTAAAGTGCCTGTGACATGCATGCATCCATCATCTTTACCTGCTTCTTCCTTTCTGGGTTGCTGGTGCTCATGTCCAGCAGCCACTGTGTGATAGTGAGGGTACTCCTTGGACAGGTCTCCAGTCCATCACAGGGACACAGAGACAAATGAGACAAACAACCATTCACTCTCTCACTCACACCTAGAGACAATATAGAGTCACCAATCAGCCTAACATGCATGTTTTTGGTCTGTGGGAGGAAACTGGAGTACCTGGAGAAAACCCACACATGCACGGAGAGAACACGTAAATCCTGAAACGTCCCCTGCCAGAATGCGATCTGACAACCTTCATGCTGAGAGGTGACAGCTCTGCCAACTGCACCACTGTGCCGCCCTGCAACATGCATAGCCTGCAAAAAATACAGAAATCAGAAGAAAACATCTTTATATGTAAGAAGTTTGATACAATACACGTAATTTTACCTGCTTTGTCACGTGATTGGCATTTTTTTTTTAAACTTGGCACAACCAAAGTGGAACAGGAAGTGACATCAAAGGGGACATTTTTTATAAAGGGGAACTTCCTGGCTTTTATTTACTGAAACAATATTTTTTGAACTCTGACTCTTCTTCATCTCTCTCTGACAGTGACTCAAAATAACTTAAAGTATCAGAATCTTTGTTGTCTGTGGAGTTCGCCGTTGTAGCAACGCTGCGTTCACATGCAAGCATTCTCCTTTGACATCACTTCCTGGTACTGACATCACTTCCTGTTACTGCTCATAAGAATATCTTAACAGCTGTTCATTTCAGAGGCGTGACAGTTTTTATTTTCCAATACGTTTTTCATATTTATTACAAACATTTCATGTCACAGGTACTTTAAATAACAGCACTAAGAAACTTCCAGGACTGAACTTATTTAAAAACGGCTCCTATATTAGCTCGTCAGAGTGGATCCTTTTCCAAAGCGGATCACTGCCTTTACTAATGCAGCCATTTTGACAGAAGTCAATATTTTGATTATTTAACCATTAAAAAAAAAAATTAACATTATAATTTATCACTTCTGGTCTGCCTTAAAGCTCCAACTCAAAGAAAACAAGTTTATATTTGAGCCAAAACTAATCAACACAGCTCCAGATGATTTTAATTACTGAAGCTAATATCATCTGTTGAAATGCCTCACCATTCTATTCTCTACTCACTCTTGCTGTCATAATCTATTAAATTATCACAGGTGATTATACCCAGGGTGAGTTTCCTCTAATGCAGCAGGTCCAGTCTTTTGCATGAAACCACAATATCTTCGATCATGACGTGCCAGGGCATTTAAAAATAGAGGGAGGGTTACCTTCTACTTATTGTGCTCTAAGGGAAAGCTTCAATGAGATCTTGGACTTACGAGGCAACCCGGTGTTGGGTGCTATAAGTAGCTCCTGCAGGAGAGTTGCTTCATAGTACGACGCTGATCTAATCTCCCCAGAGTACAGGTCAGAGCTGGTTTACTTTTTTTTACTGAATGGCACAGATACACGAACTCAACCTGGAGAAAAATAAATAAAACAAACGTAGGAGTGAGCGGTTTGAGTTCAACCTGGGCTCCTGGATCCTGTGGTTGTGTCTGGTTTCATTCAGGTCAGAAAGGCAAACGTATCTGTAGTATGAGGAGACAGACGGAAACGTGTCCAGTTTTGCAGTCAGTAGTGACTCGAGTCTTCTGTGGTTACACTCAGTCCACTTTCACAGTAACAGCTTAGTCCCACGGTTCTTCCAACAGTCCACTACTCTCCACAGTCTGCGTTTCTATCTGTCAATGTGAACTGAATTATGCAATTTTCATTTTTTTCCCAGTTTGCTTTTCTGTTTAACTTGTGGGCTCATTTTGCTGTCTGTTGCTCTTTTTGTGCAGTGGCATATCAAAAAAAAAGAAAAAAGAAACACTGTTTTTATTTTTTATCTATGTAAAGGAACAAATTGTTTTTAAATGTGTAAAAGCAAGGGTAGAGTGTTGAATTATACAGCTAGCAGAAAAATATGTTTCTTCCCTTGCCAAAGTTATATGCAAAGTTTATTTTATTTTCAAAGATTTGTTTTAACTGCATGTGTAAAGGCTATTATAAGCATGTTTCTATGTTTTCTTCAACAGAACCTTTAAAGAGAGACTTTTATATAGTCCAAAATATGGAGTGAAGCTATTACGTCTTGATGCCAAGTGTGTGTTTAAACATTTAACTCTTCTAAATGTACAGAGCAGGCAGACAACACCAAATCAGTCATAAACAAAACTACCTGTAGCATTTTATCTGTTTCAGTTCCCCACAATTAATATTTTATAAAGAATAAATCTACTGAAGGAAATTTGCACAGAAATATATACCTTTAAATTGAGTCGTATAAGATGTTTTTATTCATAAATCTTTAATAATCTACTGTAAATTACAGGGTACAGAGTAATATATATTCATAAATATAAAATACTGGCAACATTAGACGTTAGAAGCCCAAACATTCCAGATTTAAACATCTTGCACAATTTATAAAGTTTTATTAAGATTAAATTCTCAGTTTAGGCCTCTTTCACGCTGGATGATGACCTCCACTCCTCACGACCTGTTAGAAGATGAACTGCAGTGATTTTGGAAAAACTCCTTCAGTGTGATGGTTTCATAATGCTGCACTACCAGTACTCACCAGATAGGTTTTCACTCCATGATCAATGGACCGGTTGTCACAACTCTCGCAGACCAAGTCAAGAGGCAGCTATGACGATCATACAGTGTTAGCATGATGCTACTGCCAATTCAATCAATTAATCAATCAGTTATTTAAATTTATTTGTACATTCATGCAAAACATAAAATGAAACATGTCCCCAGGACATGTGGTGTATATAACCCCCCACCCCCTCCAAAAAAATAAAAATAAAAGTCATTTAAAAATGTTACCTAGCCTAAATATTAGTAAACTATCTAAAAGCCACACATAGATTTATCTACACACATAAAGAGGCTTTCCAATACTATTTTTTTTCCACACCAAGTACAAGTACTTCAGTATATGTGCCAATACTGAGTGCAGATACTGAGTAGTTCATAAGTTAGTACTTAAACATTACACAAGATTCGAAACACATTTCATTTATAAGAACACAGAAAGCAGTCTGCTGTTCTAACATCATCTGCGTTTATCTTAGTATATATCAA